CTTCCCCAGAGAGACAAAGTTGAGAAAGTCGAATCTTTTCGAACAATTTATCGTTCGTACAAATTTTTATTTCCTTCGACGAAATAATCGATGTTTCGCTGTCACTTTTAGACACATTTTAAGAAATGCGAGAATGGATGGATGGACGAATTGATAAATCGAATATAACCCGCGATCCAAATTCGCGAATATTCGATACACGTCGGTGGTTTTCTTTTGGAAAAAAAAAAAAAAAAATGACCTAATTCTTTCTCCCCCTTTTTTTTTTTTTTCGACGAAAACTCACGGACCAACAACCCGCGGAATATATAAAACAAAAGGGAGGACGAGAGAATTTCGAGAAGGAGAATGCGAGGGGGAAGAGGGAGGGGCGAAAAAAAAAATGGAAAAATCCACGGCTCGCGATTTTTCTCGAGCGGAGCCGTCATTGTTTTTCGTCCGCGATCCAAACGACAACGACAATATGGAAAAGTCGGGACAAATTCACCGGTGTTCCCCGCTGGTAACGGGTGAAAAGGGGCGGGAGAAAGCGGTAGCAAGTATAAAGGGTGCAACGCAAAGGAAACAACGGCGGCCTCGACAGTCATCGGTAATCATCCACGTGCCGCGGTGAAATGGAAACCAACGAAAACCAATCTCCAACCCTGTAACCCTTCCTCCCCTCCCCCCTCTCCCTTTCTTCCCATAATTCGCGTAGAAATTCGCGTTTATCATCGATCGATTATCTGGCTAATCTCTCGAATTCAAATTTTTTCCCCCTCCTTTTTATTTTCATTCCCCCCCAATAAATCGCGAGAATGAACGATCGACGAGAATTTATGCGAGGGGTGGTAGTAAAAGAGAGTGAAACTTAATCCTCGAAATGTTGTTAAACGGGGCGGAAGGAGAACAGTTGCAGAATTAATTAACGTTGATGATAATTAAGGAATTATCAAGAATGAAAATGAGAAGAAAAATGAAGAAACGAGTAGGTTGTTGGAGTCGTTAAGAGGGAGGGAGGGAGGGAGAAAGTTGGGGGAAAGATCGATGAGACGAGACAAAGTAAAAGTGTGGATCGTTGTGCGCGTTCAGTTGACGGTGATCTCGGCGCCATGGCGCGAAACGACAGCGGATCCGCTGAAAATGTCGGCGCAAATGACAATGTTCCTCCTTCGTCGCTCCATTTGCACCGGGGACAATTGTCCTCGTTCGCCATTATGGCCGTTCTTGTTGTACGATTGCACCCGGGAGATGATGTTCCGCGTAGATGAGCGGCGCCGTTCGTAAATCGAGCCAACAAAATGACGCCGTGAAAAACTTTTTTTTTTTTCTCTCCTCTTTTTCTTCTTCTTCTTCCTCCTCTTCTTTTTTTTCCTCTCTCCTTTTATTTTCATCCTACGACCATTTGGAGGAATCATTTGCGCGGTGGAAGGAACAACCTTGGCGAAAGAATAGCCCGGATAATCGTACTAGAAGAAATATTACATGGAAGTAAGTATGGCCGAGAGGAAGAGGAAGAAGAAGAGGAAGAGCGGAGGGAAAGGATATTCTCGAGTCAAAGGAAATGGAACTTTTCGATAAATTCTTTGATCGAAATTAGAAAGTATCGAAGTTTCGCTCGATTCGAAGGGGGGACAGACGATAGTTCGATTTACGGGGAACGCATACCAATTTCTTCTTCTTTTTTTTTTTTTTTTTTTTTTTTAAACCATCGTTTGATCCGGCGAACCGACCGGGATCAGGTTTGACAGGATGAACTAGGCCAGGCCGAATTCGAGAAAATGGAAGAATGGCGGAGGATGGAGGGACGGGCGGAGATCAGTGTCAAGTGAAATAAGTAAATTTAATTAAAGCCCGGCATGATGGATGAACGAACGAACGAACGAACGAACGAACGTACGGTCGAGTGGACAAAGAGATAAGTGGATTTTATTTTCATCCCCCCGTGTGGAACGAATTTTTCGAGAGGCCGCCGTTCGTCCGCTCCTCCGCCCCCATTCTTCGACGAGGGGGGAGGAGAGTCGAAGAGCTAAGAAATGGAGATAAGAGATGGACGAAGGAAAAGAGAAGAACCGTGCGATAATGCAAACTCATCCGTGGCACGGTGTACAAACGATAAGATAAAGACGCTTAACGTGCACCGGCCAAGCGGAGAGGAACGATTAAGTGGCGTAGCGTTAAAAACCAACTAGCGTAATTAATTAATCGGACAAAGCGCAACCTACACGTACATACATATATATATAAAAAAGAAAAAAGGAACGAAACGAGCTTTCCAACGATAATACGCGAGTTGTAACGGCCTCTAATTATCTACTCTTCGCCTGCAAGGGAAAAAGAAGCAATCCGGACAGATTTCGTTTCGATGAATAATTTGCGAGATAAGTTGATCCAACGTGATAAATGGGATTACGACGATTATACAAAAATTTCTCGCGAGAAAAGAGTAGGAGTAAAAGAGGAATTAAATTAAAAAATAGTATAAATTCTTCGAGAATTTCCTTCGAATTTACGAGAAGAACAGGTTGGATCGATTCGATCCAATTCGATTAATCTTATCCTAATTTATTATTCTGATATTCGCGGAGGGGGAAAACGGAAAACGGAATATCGGAATAAAAAAATTTTCTCCGATTTTGCTCGATATACGAAGGGTAAACTAAATATTCGAAACGAATTATTCGATTCTTGGAATTCACAGGTGGGAGGGAAGGAAGGAAGGAAGGAAGAAAAAAAGAACGAAAGAAGGGTATGGTGTCGGGCGAAAGTCAGGTGGAGGGATAAAAACAGAAATGGGGAGGGGGGGAGAGAGAGAGGGGAGGAGAATGCGGAGAATGAACGTCGTCTCTGGCTCGGACTTCAAAGTACCTTTCCACCGTGGCGGAAAACCAGTGCTGCGGGAAACACTGCAAATAGAAGGGACGAGATAGCACGCAAAGAAAAGGGAAAATGGTAGACGGCGCCGGGACAGAAGTAGTATTAATTTCCTCGAGCCCGGAGGTCCTGGCACATCATTCTCCGCCAGACACCACCAGGAAAGACGAATCCCTTTCGTTTCCCTTCGACTCTCTCTCTCTGTGCTCACCGATATTGCCAACATTATACACGTTGGAATATTCTTTCTCCGGGGATTCCGATTCTACTTATTTCTTTCTTTCCCTCTTTCTTTTTTTCTCCCACCTATCGTATCGACGAGATTTCGAGAATCTCTCTCTTCCTCCTCTGATTGATGAGCAATTTGAGGTATTTTTTTCTCTCTCTCTCTCTTTCTCTCGTGACAAAGAGGGGAAAAAAACAAACCAGTCTCGTTCATGAAAATCCTGTCGCTCGAATCCCACTCTCGATAGAGACCTGTCACGTCTCGTGCGTGGAGGTTTGATGTTAAGCATGACGGGCATGTGAGCGAATAATAACATCAGGTTGACGCGATGCCTTCGCTTTAAATCTCCCTTTAAATCATTTCAAATTTTTCAAACTCTATTTTCTTTTTTTTTTCTTTTTTAATTTCGTTCCTCTGCCAAGCATTTTAGAAATCCATATGGAAGGAAAACTTTATAAAACGTAGCTTCGATCGTTTCAAAAATTTAAATCCACGATAATAATCGAATGTTCTCGTTACAAACGTTACAAAGTAAAATTGGACGTATCTTAATGAATTTTTCATAATCATTGGACAGCAAGCAAATCATACGAATTTATTGTGTGTAAAAAAATTCGCCAACGAGTTCGCATCGTGATCGCCATTTTTTTTACACTCGCGTAAATATCACACCGACGAGATATATTTGCGAAAGAAAAGAGCGCTACGCGTGACAAATTTCCCTTTGTTTTCCATTAATATTTCCTCCCGTCGGACGAGGATGAACGAGGGAAAAGTTAAGAGGCGGCCGGCTAACAGATTCGCAAACAACTTTCATATTTCTATATATATATATATATATATATATATATAGAGAGAGAGAGAGAGAGAGAGAGAGACGAAGAGGAAGAGGGCAACGAGGGGGTATCGCGTTCCGTCGAAAAACGAATGGCCGGATGTGTTTCCGTTGTAAACACGATTTTTCCTCGCAGAACGCTCCCCTCCCCTCGGATCCACCCTCGTTAGGAGCGGTTGAACGAGTAATAGGCAAGCAACTCTCCGCGAATCCGCTTAATCTTTCGGTAAACTAATAAAACTTCGTTAAGGCCGTCCAACCCCCTCCCCCCCCTCCGAGTGAAACGCCACCGATTTCTCCCCCTTCTTCTCTTTCCCGTTCTTTCATATCTTCGATCTTGTCAATGATCGTGAACGTGAATTCGAAGGAGATTAATTTCAAAAATCGGAAAATCGCTTCTCGAGAAGAGTTTCCCTAAAAAAAGAAACTCGTGTTCGAAACTCTTCGATCGATTTTTCCATTAATCCAAATTTCTTTTATTACGAACTTAACTTTTAAACACAAATCATCTATGGATTTGATTTTTACTATACAGAGAATGAAACTCTATAAATAGAGTTAAAAAATATCTATAAAATATTCTTTTTCAAATATTTCAAATAACACGTCAAGATATCCGTGAGCTTGTCTTTAATATTGGCCTCATAGATGGAAAGAAAGGTAATCTAAGCTCTCCGAAAAGCGAAATTATTTTCGTGTTCGCAAGTTTGACGAGCACCGGTCGTCAGCGATAGCTTACAAACTCGGAGGGAATAGCGAGGCAGAGCTGTACAGAGCTGATTTACAATGTTTGCTCCCAAGAGTAAACCGTTAGTTACCCGTCGCCTATTATCCCGATGGTTTGCTTATAACCGAAATGGAAGGAGGGTTAAATTACCATCGGGCGAAGCGGAGCGGAGAATCCCTTCTTCTTTTTCTTCTTTTTTTTTTTTTTTTTTTTTTCTTTCCTTTTTATATCGCAAGCTCGAATCTTAGCTTAATCACGCTAAAACTAATTATCCCGTTCCCGGGGCGAAAGACGGGGGGGAGGAAATAGAGGTGGAACTGCGATAAGTAAACGCGTCGTGTTTTCTTTTGTTTCGACAGGAGCCGTTGGTGGCGAAGGCGGAGACGAAGATGACAAGGAGAAGGAAGAGGAGGCCGAGAGAGAGAGGCAAGAAGCCATCAGGGAGGCTGAGGAGCGAAGGAAGGAGAAACACCGCAAAATGGAAGAGGAACGGGAGAAGATGCGACAGGAAATCAGGGACAAGGTGAGAGATAAGCTCCTCTTCTCTTTTTCCTTTCTTTTTCCGCTTTTTCCTTCTTTGCCAGTTTATTCTCTCTTTCTCGATGAAAGAGCGCGCGTGCAAGGGAAATCAACTTCTCGAGAATTATGCGTCGACCCGTTAATCCCATTACGAATTCGAAAAAAGGAGAGGGAGGGGGCTTTCGTCGAGATAAAAGAGAGGAATCTTCTTGGAGAAGAGAATCTACGCGTTTCGACGCGTCTTATGAACGCGAGATATGGCGAAAAGCACGTTTCGATAAAACGTTCGCTTCTTTCTCTCGTTCTTTTTCTCTTTCGCTGTCCGAGTTCCAACGAATTTTCAAAATTCTCCCTCTCGTTTTCGAGTTTATCTCGATTTACTCGTGTTATTTACCAATAATTAAATCTATTTACGGGTGAATCTCGTTAATGTTGCTCGATAATTAATCAGTTCGAACCTGTTCGAAAGAAGGGAAGAAGGTTAATTAATTGGCGAGTTGAATTTTGAAATTCAAATTTTGCGCGATAGTTAGTTCCATTTTCGCGAAAGCGGAGCTAACACACAAACGCGTTTCCCCCGATCGTGAACGATGATTAAACGAGAAAGGAAACGAAGAAGCCTCGCGAAAAGCCGATCCGCAACCCCTGTCTCTCCTTTTGACAGGTTCAAAGAAAGCCGATTCGGAATACCGAATGAACCAACGATTGGGGGAAGCCCTATGAAGGGTGAAACGCCCCGGAATCAAAAGTATCGTGTGCTTATTTGCAAATGTGCGCCCGGAATTTCGAGCTACGCGTGTGGGTATATCGAGTGCCTTCCGATTTCACGCTCGAAAAATTTCAAAGATTCGATGTCTAAAAAAAGGACACGTTAAAGATACTTCTCCTCCGTATCGTTTTCGTTATCACGAGACTTCCATTGATCTGAAACCAATCAGATAATTGAACAATTCATCGATCTTTAAAATAAATTAGAAAGCGAAGAAGATAAGATAAAACGTGAACCGATATCGTTAGAATAGTCGATATATCGATTTATTGTTTCAACTCTCTTATTAAAGGAAGAGATTTTAACTTTCGTTAAAAAAACGATTTTCGAACGATCCTTGAATATCTTCGCATCGTCGAACGAATTTTTTAATTATTTTATATCGTTTCGAAGAGGATCGAAAGAAGCCTAATGTATAAAAATTTCCCAAAAAAAAAAAAAAAAGAGAGAGAAAAGTACAACATTTTCGCTCGAAAATGTTCCCTTTCCACGAGTGAAAATTTTCAATTACGAGTTTCATTTTCGCTCTCGATTCTTCGCACACGGAATCCCACCGCCTACCAAACATCCTCCTCGTTGCATTCTTCGAGGACAAAGGATTCTCTCTCTCTCTCTCTCTCTCTCTCTCTCTCTCCCGGTTTCCGGTACGGCGAGATACACGGGGATATCTTTAGGGCGTGTTTTCACGCCTGGCTGGAAATAGGAAACACCTGGCTTCGTTTGTCGATGGATTTCCACGGATTTTGTCTCGAATCTACCGCAACCTATATTTGTCAGAACGGATATCATTCTTCCTTCGACGAGCGTTAGACTCCAAGAGTCGCTCCTCTCCTCTCCCCCCTGATTACCATTAAGAATGTCGTTCACCGGGTTGAAGAGCGCTTATCGACTTCCCTCGGCTTGTATAACAGATTTCGTAATATCATAATTCGAGCAGACGTCGACGAGATTAATTCCACCTCCTCTCCTCGGTTCACGGCCCAAGATTTAATATATTTTATTATTATCACCTCCCTTCCCCCCCACGGAGGATTTATGCCACCAATCGACGAACCATCAAAGATTATCGCGTGGTAACCGTAATTGTCGTCAGTCAAATCTCACCCTTGCCTGTCTTCCTCTCCAACAGGGTGAAAAATCAACCCACGCCCGTGCCTTCGTTGCTTTATTATTGCGATCGATTTCTCTCTCTCTCTCCCTCTCTCTCTCTCCTCCAGTTTTTTAAACGCCTCCAGTTCGTTTCTTCTTTCACAATTTCCATCCGCGTTGCCGTTTCTGAAATGTAAACAAATCGATAAATTCAATCGCAAACAAGAAAATCGAAGCTCCAATTCGAGTCGTACATTCTCCTTTTATCGAGGGGAAAAATGTTGGATCAAACAAAAGGTTGGACAAAGCGGTGGACCTGGCTCGGTGTATCTCGATAATTCGCCGCGTCAATGGGAAATTGGATCAATTATCTAACGAAGCCGATTTCATAATTCGAGCCGGATCGAGTATGGATCGGGCTCTCGTATTTTGGTCGCAATCACGCTAATTAGTCGTGACCGGTCGATGATACGTAACCGTTTGATCAACGAGAACCATTGTTCACGGCTGTCCCGCGGTTTCGTAATCGTCCTCGATAATGGCGCCAACGAATAATCCTCGGACCGTGATTATTTTCATCGCGCGCGCGTTTCACAGAGCTGTGCAAACTTTCACAGGCGAATTGACCAATTTCGAGCGCGAGCAACGATAATGGCGGCCCGTTCTCGCCCAAAACAACGCGCCATATTTAAATTTTTCGTTTTTTTCGCGATTTAACGAGTTTATCTCAACGCCAAAACATTTTCCCGAGAAAAATGCATACACGATTGGATATTTACGATCGAGGAGAGAAGAAAAAAATATCGAGAGGGGACGAAAATCACCAATTTTCGACGAATGCTTCATCGAGTAATTTCCAAGCCAATTTTGAAATATCCTACATTTTATTAGAGAGAGAAAGGGATTCGATAACTTGAGAAATATATTTGTGTTACATTCATTTTTTGAAATTTTCATTTCTCTTCAAGATCCTCTCCTTGATCGAAATGAAACTTTAAAAACCTTTACGATAAGTTACACGAAATGAAATCGCAACGAAAGAAACAATCGTACGATCTCCTCTATCTATCAAAAAAAATTCTATCCGGAATCTTTAAAATGCGACGAGCGAGATTCCAAAGGATCTCGCTAAATTAATCCAGATTTCCAGAAAAAAAAAAAAAAAAGGATAGGACGGATAATACCTTCGAGAAGGATTAATTTATCAATTCGCAAGGGGAGGAGAAGGGATTTCACGATTACCGTGTAAATAAGGGGAAACAGACGGGGGGAGGAAAGAGGGGAATAATTATTCGTCCGACAAGAAGACGTTAATCCAGCGAACGCCACCGAAAAGATAAATTGCCCGAGATGGGCGAGTTTTCGTGGCGGTGGGCTCAACACTCGTTTCCACGTGTGTACGTCTGCGTACGTACGAGGAAGGGGAACGGCTTAAAATGCAAATTTGATTACGAACCGGCACCGTGACCGCGTTCCCTGCTCGTAGCCTGCTCCTCTTACACCTCAACACCGTCCACGTGTATCCGTACACGTTTCGAGTATACGACGAGTTTGCACGGCGAGAAAAGTGTACGAAGAAGGGGGGAGGGGGATTGGAGAGTTGTTTATCGCGTTTAACGAGTATACACCGAAGCGAGAGACAATTACCGCGTACGCAGAGACGTAGGCGAAGAAAGAACTAAGACGAGGAAAATTTATTTCTCGCTGTGAAATCGAAAGAAGGGACGATGATAAAAATATATAATAAAATGGAGCGATGCGATCTTAAGTAAGCGCAAGAAAAAAAAAAGGAAAAGAAATTAATCGAATAAAAACGGAACAATCTATTATTTTCCTAAATAAAATTTGTCGAAGGAAAATTACAAAAGTTATTATTCGATTCATAAATTGGAATGGAAAATTTTCGTTCATATCTAAAATTGATCTATATCAATTTTATAAAGGAAATACGTGATTCGCAAAATCGTGAGAATCGTGGAGCGTCGATCATATATTCAAGGAAGGAGAAGATACGGTTAAAAGGAGGGCATCGTCGTGGAAGAAAAAAAATAAATTCTCCTTTCAACTATTTGGCAAACTGTTGACGAATGTATTGGTCGTCAGCTAACTTCTCGTGGACCGTGGTCCTTTGCGAAACATTCACGAGCGTACCGTGAAACGGAATTGTTTATCGCGGAACGTATAACAAAGCTGGTCATTGTTGTTCGCAAGTTCCGGTTCAAAGCAAACTCGATCCTTTCTTTCTTGTTTTTTGCGGTGCACGAGAAAAAGCACGAGCACTGGTTTGCCGGAAAGAAAGAAGGAATAAATATTAGAACTCGTATAAAAAACTTTGTCCAAACTTTGTTTTCGTGCGAGATAAAGCGATTCGCGAAACGTTATGGAAAATCATAAAACTGGAAACTAGTAGCGAGAGAGGACGAATGTATCGAGAAAGAGAGAGAGAGAGAGAGAGAGAAAAGATAATTTGTGAGCGTTTTCGCGAGGAACCATCGCACAATGCACCCAGTGTTCGAAAAGTTTCTCCGACACGGCCGATTTACCGGGAAACAAACGAGAGGGAATGGAGGAAAAAAAGAAAAAAAAAGAAAAAAAAAAGAGTGGAACAAAAGAGAATGAAAAAAGAGATAGAAAAGGACAAACAGATGTCAAGCGAAATCGTACCATTGTCAATCCTGATGTATTGTCCTGTCAGGATGTAGTCAGCGGGGCTGACATGACCCAGATGGAATCGAGGGCTCTTACAACGAATAATCGAGAAAAATACAGAGAGTCCCCTCCCTCCCCCGCGGTTATATGCATTGTACGCATTAAAACGAATAACTCTCGAATCATCGACGCGACGTCGCCCAATTAAATTCTTTCGACCTCGCGTTTGTTCGTCGTCGACGAGTGGTTGCAAAATTATCACCGATATATAGCACGCGGCCGCCAAGACTCGCGTCACTTCGAAAACGATCGGCCGCCCCCAATTGTCCCCGAACAATCGAAACTTAATAAGGGCGCCGCTGCTTTTGACAAGTGTAAAATAAAGGTAAAAAAAATTTCCAAATTAATCTGTCCGCGCATCGAATACGATAATCGAACGGAACGCTTGAAAAATCCGTAGTAAAAAGTGTTTCAACCCCCCCTCGAGATCAAATGTT